CCCCCCCCGGAGCACCGCGATTTAATTAGTCGGGAATTGCCTGCCTTCCAGCTAATTTTGGGTTCTGAAGTTCCTTCTCTTGTGTAGGCGGTGAATCGGTTGCTGAACATATTTCTTACTGATGACGGTGTATTCCGGCTTGCAGTAGATTTTTGTGTAGCTCAAGGTTTTTGGTAAGGATGTGCGATGAGGCTCCCAATAGTTCTGGTCCAATAATCCCGCTAAAGTCCCCATCGTCAAATGGCACGATTTTTCCCAGCTTCATTACGTTACGCCCCTGTTGCCGCTGGTGGCAGTCATTACCCGTGAAGTTGGTCGGGGCGTGTCAGCGGCGCATGGGTTCTGGTGTGGGCCAGCCTATTTTCCATCGATCGTTGTGGCTTGTGGCGTCCCATGAAGGATGGTGAAGGGGCAGGCGCCGCCCCTCAACCCATGCGTTGCTGACGCCCCACCCCAACTGACTTCGGTGATAACGGGTGTAAACTACTCTTCTTTCCTCATTTTTTGTTGAAGGATGCAGCTTCAACGTCCTTCCAGATTTAGCGGTAGTTTTGTTGAAGGTATCCTTTTAAAGTAATCAAGTAAGCATGAATATGGAAGCGGACCCGCAGAATCCTTTCGGTCAGAAGAAAACGAAAATATAGCTGATCAGTGGAATTCAGGACGAATGAGCAGGGGAATCTCGTACCTGAAATTCGAATAGAATGACAAGATAGCATTTTTTTCTGTTGGTAACTCAATGAGAAGCAAGTTTCGGCGCAACTCGTCTTGGTAGAGAGGGGCATTTGCTCGTTCCCATATCTATCAATGCCGATGCCTCCTGTGGAGACATGTGAGCTCTTGTGAACAGAGTACGGCATCGTTGCGTGAAACACATGGTGGGGGGAGGGGTCGTACTTGGTCGCTGGGGAGAGGCGGGGGTCGTATGTGCCTTGAGAGCAATTTGCCGCATTGGGAAGAATTTTTCCCGGTTGTTGACTTTTCGTGATTTCCTGTTTCATGGGTACTATATATCCTCCTGCGAATCTATTCAGTGGTTTCAACTCGTTCCAACTTGACAAGATGCAACGAGTCTCACCAAAGCTGTAATTGTAAGTTAACAAATAGTAAGAGAAATTTAGCGAGCTTTAAAATACCCCCCCCCCTCTTAATTCAACAGCGCCAACATTTTGTTTTTTTTGTTTCCACTAAAACTGCTCTTTTATTGGATTGGATTGATTATTTCTAATGTTTCTACTCAATATGTGATGAACAACAAAATAAATAAAAAGAGCAAATAGGTTGCGGAGTTGTTTCTCTTTTTCGGGCACATAAAAATATCTTAATATTACTGTCAGTGTGCTAATAATGTTTCTCTTTCAGAATCGCCTTCTCGGTGCCTTTCTACCTCAGCATCTCATCACCGCAGCTCGTCTACAAATCGCTACCAGTAATCCTCACATATATGCTGAACATTATCCACTAGTACGTTTGAGAAAAATACTTCGAAATTATGAGCTCCTGAAAAAAATGACTTGACTCCAAATTCAATAACATGCTAGAGTTCACCCATCTTGAGCTGGTGAAGAAATTTCCAAGTCATCCAGCTCAATCGGAGTTTTGCTGAACTACTTTCACCGTTTCGGGTGTCTTGTAGATTAGTTGGTGCTATTCGGCTCAGAAGGGGCATTTTGCACTTTCGCTAGCTCGTTTTGTTAGCTAAAAGGTCTCATTGGCCAGACCTGTAAACTGCTGTGAAGCTGCGAAATTTTCCGTGCGAACCGCTTTGGTCTCAGAAATTTACAGGTGTTCACATGATGGCCAGTGCAAGCTTCAAGCTTCACGATTACTATTCGGTGCCCCCTCCAAGCCGAACTTCACCGAATTAGTCTTTCAATTACAACAGCTCATTTAGGTCACGGTAGCATATGCTCGTTTGATCGGTTTCGAAGCTGTCTTGTCACAGTGCTCCTCACTGGATGCAGCTCGAGTTCTGAAGGTTCGTTCTAACCTCTTTAATCCTCTACAGAATCAATATCGTTCAAGATTTGTTCTTAAGGAATTTGAGCTACGTATCGATCGGTTATGCGATTTGAATGGTTGCACAAAGGTAGCCTCAGAGGGAATTACGGTAAGATACCCAGAGTTAAATGTCTCTGACATACCAATTGCAAGGCTTTACAGGTGGTGTCCTCTATACCGACCCTCGATCCTCATCATGCAATGAATGTGGTTCAATTCGCTTCACAGCTTGAGGCACTTGTCAGGTGAGCATCAGCAATTTGTCACCAAGGGGGATTGTTCCCAGTAGTTATGTTGATTAATTGGGTATTCTGTGTTATGGAAAACCTGCCTATGCCGCCTTGTTCATATCCCTGGTGTAAAAATATTTTTTAGTATTCTGTGATATTTGATATTTCAGCTCATTTCGTGATGCTACGACAGCCGATGTAGCAGTTTGTGTAGGGATCGATAGTGGACCAATATCAGCTGGAGTTGTTGGGTCGACTAAGTGGCACTATGACGTCATCGGGATAACTGTAGACAACGCAATCCTGTTGCAGAGTAATGCTCCAGCACAGTGAGTCATACATCTCATATCCCAGGAACGGAGTAGGCGTGGCTGCAGAATAACACGGATAGAGTGGGCGTGGCTGCGAAATTCATTAGTAACGGGGCAGCGGCTGCGCTACTGATGGGACATTGCCGTTTCGGGACGACTGTAATCATGTTCTTCTCTGCCACAAAACAGGATGATAGCTGTCTCAAATGTAAATGTTCCCGAAAACGCTTTTCGCGCCGCTTTCAAATCAAGTACGCACACGCCCTTGCCACATCCAGGACATGGACTATAGATTTATCCCTACCCCTTGAAAGACCCTGTTATAGGCTAGCGACTCTTAATTTGAGCTCTTTCCGTAAGATCTGTATATATAAAAGGCTTCGTTGACAGGTGAGGGGAGGGGTGGTCCTGGTAGGGGGTGCAGTATGGGTATAGCAATGTGGTGTGTGAGATGACAGCGTTAATAGGACTCTCCGTACCCACCTACGAATTTCCTAAGTTGGCGCGATTCCCTACCCTTTTTTTCCTCATGGATTCCAAAGAATTTCACCATTTTCAGAAATTTTCCCAATTTTTCGAACAAAAAAAATTGCCGTCCACCGGGGGGGGGGGTCGTAAGCAGTGCTGCACAAACTGAACATGAGGAGGAAAAATCTATACAATTAAACGGACGGGAAAATTTGCGGAAAAAATCCTACCAAAAGCATATACGACCCCTCCCCAGCGTCCAAGTATAACTCCCCTGATGGGATTCTCCCAACAGTAATGTGCTCCGACAAAAATATCCCTTTCTTCTAGTTCCCGAAAATTTTTACTCTCCGATGTGAATATTTAATGGTTCTGAATTTTACAGTGGAGTGTTCATAACAGAAGAAACGCGTCGCCTTATCGACAACCACGTAAACCTTGAACATGTCGGAGAAATTTGGCGAGTTCATGGAGATGCAGCTGGACCCGAAATGTTTCCTGTGAATAAAAGGTAAGAAAAGTTTTTAGAAAACTGCTCCCGTTTGGCGTCATCAATCACAGCCCCAAAGGAACAGCAGACAGCTGAACTAGTTCTAATTGAAGGAAATGGAACTTAAAGGAGCGGTCCGCGATGACCTATGAAAATGCAGGTTATGTGGGAAGGTAGTGCGGTCCGGAGTGGACAACCCTGTGCCAGTTTCGCGGCGGAAAGTTGTACGGTAAAGGGATTAAGGCGCAAAGTTGCTTCAGTGGTACATCCCTTTTTCCAGTGACTCCGCCTCCAGACTCCGCCTCCAAAGTCGGCCTTCCAGCCAAAAGTAATGCTCCCGGGCAAGTATCATGGAGTGGATGCATTCAATGTCTCTTGTAGAGTCATAGGGTTCATTACTGGGAATCAGCCGACGGGAATTGTCCCAGCGCGCGGTCTTTTCGGTCTTTTACCTCTACAGTTGTTTGAGGCTAGAGGAGGCCTGACGAATGCGTTTCCCTTTGGCATTTTCTCTTCATAGATGGATCAGAACACAGTATTTGTAAGCATTTGCGTCAAATTTTGTATGAGTGCCATCTCCCACTCCTCACAAAGTGTATATTTTCCCGAAATCCTACAAATGAAGGGGATGTATGAAGAGCATCGGTATGGTTGACTTGGCGATGTCTCACTGTCCCACAATCTACCTTACCTGCACGTTATCAGAATCACTCAAAATTCTACCCATCTACCAGTTGTTACCCAGACCGTAGGGCAAAGTTCTCGTCGAAAAACTTCCACGATCTATAGTAATTGTATAGTAGTTTCGCAGTTCCGTCGGCCAAACGGAAAAGGGGATCGAGGGGGGGGGGGGAAGGGGAAAAAGGGCATATGACTCACATGACAGGGAAACAACGGGAAATCACAAGCGCAAAAACTTTCAATGTTGTTACCTTATGATAATTGCTGTATATTATGATAGAAAGCTTGAACGCAGCCACGAAGCGATGCTCTACCCATTACGCTACCAGGACAGCTCTTACGCTCTCATGGTCAGCTCAGCAGCTTTTTTTTAACTACTGTTTAAAGCCGCAGTTTGTGCGCCGCGAGCTATCACAAGGTTACTCAGCCATGGGCAAAAGTCCTGACTCCGAGCGGGACCCAAACTAGCGCCTTTTAGCGCCTTCGACGTAGGGATTTTGTTGGAGAATTTCCCTTGTTTCTAGTACAGCAAGCAAAAGTCCTTGTCCCCACCCATGGAAGACGACTTTTTGGCAAACAGAAGGTAAGAAGGATGTGAAGGTGGACTTCGGCGGTCGAATGAACGACGGTGGAGCGTAGGAGGGAGGATACTGAATAACGAAACGAGAATTCTTTAGCCTTATACTGTTCTTTTAGTGATATTTCAGTTCATTATCTACTTTCAGATTTTCCATGGTAACGGTTCCTCAAGGAATCAATCGTCTCTTGCAAACGTTGTCCACAATTGATCGCATGTGAAAACGATTGGCACCACTAAGAAGAGGTTTAATTGACGCTTCTCTTCAATATCATATTCGCCCCATATCCTGAAGACAGGAAAGGGCGTGGCCATTAACTTATTTGAACGTGGCGCAAGATGCGTTTTGTAGGGTTTTTTTCCCATTTGGGACAACTGTCATCCTTGTCTTGTGATGGACAAAGTCAAGGATACATTGTCCTAAACGGCAATATCCCAATCAACGTGCAAGCGCTCTGGCGTTTGAAAGAAAAACGCGGCCACGCCCCTTCAACTCTATGAGGTATGGAACGTCAGTGTTCCCTGCGAGTTGAAGTAGCAGTTCTTATACCAAGGTCCCAGTAATGGCTTCATCAGTGTTTGGTTCGAAGATTTCGCTTCATTTTTTTCGTATAATTAATACATGAGTTGAAAATTTAGGAAAGCAAAATTACAAGATGAAATCGATGAGAAAGAACACTCATCCAGCAAGGGCAGTTTTATGCACTCAGTCTCACTGCAGTTCAAAAACGTTCGTCTTGAGACGGAGGTGAGTCATTAGCAATAAATAACTTGTCAGTTTAGATTTTATGGGTGGGCTCCCACCCTATCAACCGCTGACCGAGGGGCGGCAAAACCTGTTAGGGGCAACGGGCACGATGGTTGGCGGGAGGGGGGGGGTGATTGTCGCCAACGTCATTGGTGGAGGCTAAGTGAGGCTGTGGCCCTCTCGCAGCCCTTCCACCAATAACGTTAGCAGCAACCACTCACCTCCAGCGATCCTGCCCACAGCCTCCGAATAAAAGTGATTCCTTTTGGGCATGAAACAGCCTAACATTAAGAGCCGGCGCAGTTTGACGGCGGGGGGGGGGGGCATTTTGTACTATCATTGCTTCCTTAGTTCCGGTTTACATGTCTCACTCTGGCGAAACCTGTGAACTCTTGTGAAGCTGGAACAAGGTCGTCAAGCCATCATGTTAAAACCTGTCAACTCGAGAAGAGGCTGTCTAGATAGGTCGACACGTCGATGGGAAGTAGC